GAGGTGGGCCTGTGTGAACCTCATGAAGTTCAACAAGGCCAAGTGCAAGATCCTGCACGTGGGTCAGGGCAATCCCAAGCACATACACAGGCTGGGTGGAGAATGGATTGAGAGCAGCCCTGAGGAGAAGGACTTGAGGGGTGTTCACAGAATGTTGGTTGATGAGAAGCTCAACATGACCCAGCAATGCATGCTCCCAACCCAGGAAGCCAACCATATCCTGCGCTGCATCAAAAGAAATGCATCCAGCAGGTCGAGGGAGGTGGTTCTGCCCCTCTACACTGCTCTGGTGAGACGCCACCTGGAGTACTGCATCCAGCTCTAGGGTCCCCAATCTAAGGAGGACATGAACCCGTTGGAGCGAGTCCAGAAGAGGGCCATGAAGATGATCAGAGGGATGGAGCACCTCTCCCTATGAGGACAGGCTGAGAGAGTTGGGGTTGTTCAGCCGGGAGAAGAGAAGGCTCCAGGAAGACCTTATAGCATCCTTCCAGCAGCTAAAGGGAGCCTCCAGGAAAGGTAGAAGACGACCCTTTATCAGGGAGTGTAGTGATAGGATGACGGGTAATGGTTTTAAACCAAAAGAGGGTAGATTTAGATTAGATATTAGAAAAATTTTTCACCATGAGGGTGGTGAGACATTGGAACAGGTTGCCCAGGGAAATTGTGGGTGCCCCATCCCTGGAAGTGTACAGGTTGGATGGGGCTTTGAGCAACCAGTTCTAGTGGGAGGTGTCCCTGCCCATGGCAGGGGGGTTAGAACTAGATGATCTTCAAGGTCCCTTCCAACCCAAACCATTCTATTATTCTGTTCTAAGTTTCATATACTTTCAATATTAACATTTCACCAAATAACATGAAACTCACTAAAACACTCTACTTCAAGCCATTGCATGAGTGAGTTGCTTTGACAGAAATAGCCTGTGCATTTACTAAAAGTAAACACCAAAAGCATTCCTTACAACTTTGCAAGTGGTGTTTGCCACAGTTTTACCTGCCAAACTGCTCTGTCTCTCTCCAAACTAGTTAACATTTTCTGTCTCAGTGTAGTCTGGTATTTTTCAGTCAGCTGTTTCAGCACTGGCTCATATGATGCATAATGTGCCTTCAGCCTGTAAACAAGAAGAGGACAAATGATTCCTCAAAGATGAGTTAAATCAGAGATTTATGTCTTTGTAACTTTTTTCCTCTCCAAATAAAAGAATAAAGGTGCCAAAATGTCAACACAGAGGAAGCAACAAAGGTATTTAGTATGCAACCACCCAACTGTAATACTACAAGAAAAAAACAAAAATAAGTAGTCAGATCAAGAAGAGGTTTCATAGTTTTAGTCATATCTTTTAAAACAATCCATCCAGGTTTTTCCTGTCCTTAATTCTTCATACACATATTAGACATTAGTTTTTGCTAATTTCTGTTTTCTTGCAGATGATATTTCATTGAAGAAAGAGAATTACAGCTATCATCCGCATACCAACTAAGATCTGAATCTAGTTGAAACAGTCATATGATTACTCTTTCTTTCTTCACTGCACATTACATTTAGAATACTTAACCCTTTAATTCTTCAGAACAACTAAAAGATATATAAGCACTGAAGAGAAACACAGGATACTAAGCTTCAAAAACAATGCATTTTTCAAAAAGCTGACGTGCAGAGGATAAGGCAGTGAATAGTGCTCTCTTGCACTAGTATGTATGGATTTCAAGGTTAAAGATGTAGGACATGTAGTTGCTATTACATGCATTTATTGATAACAATATTGACAAGCCAATATTTCTGTGACTTTTTTGGAGCTGCAGATGTAAGCCACTCCCCAATGTTATTTTAAAACAAGTGATGGCACAAATATGAGCAAAGAAGCGATTCTAAATTCAGCTCTTTCACCTGGACCAGTGATCTTCAGAGGGACAACATAAAAGTTCTACTCATGGAGGGAAAGCAGCACAACAGTTAATAGAAAACCTACAGAATTCCAGAAAGGCAAAATTACAGAACTAAATATTATAAAATAAACTATTATAACTCAGTACCAATGGACTAGTTTGGGCTTATTTGCAAACAAAGCAACACAGCAAATTTCATATTGGAAATTCAACATGTAAAAGGACAGAAAATACCACCTATGTGAATCATGAATGCAAAGGTTCTGAACTCTGTGTGACACCAGTTACCCTTAAAACAGATAAAGGATCTAAACCCAGAAATCACTACATACTTATGGAAAAAGAAAATCTTATTTGTATTTTCCACTGTTAGAAATACTATGTATTAGTAATGCCACATCACACTATGGAAAAATATATTAAAAAATCATTAGAAATTGTGTAAAAGACATGGAAGAATGGTCAGATGGAACTTCCATTTATCAGGACGCTAAATAAATGTGGCAGGCATTAGTTAGGCAGCAATTGAAGACGTTATCTTTAATGTTGCATATATGGTAACTAAAATAATTTTTTACCTTTTAATGTCACAAATAAGCCTGTTTTTCTCCTGGACCACTCGCTTATGATGCATTCGATGGAAGTCACGTTCTTTCTGCATTTTTAGGAAAGCCTCTTTCGCTTTGCTGTATGTAAACAGAAAATGTAACAGAAGTATTAGTCTCCTATTAATTGCTCATCAGGGTATGTTGAATACACACAGAATTATCAGATATGCACACGCCTACAGTATGCAAGTTGGAAACTTTTGGTAGTATGCCCTGTGGTGCAGAACATGTACTTTTGAGGTCTCTTTGCTGCCAGCTGATGTACAAAACCACAGGTAAACCATTACCTTTCCTCAGTTCCTTTAGATAGAATCCATAAGAATTCCGGCATTATAAATCTCAGATGTCAACTTTACTTTAAGAACAAAGGGTTCTGTGGAGGTACACATTCAAGTTACAGGTGATTAGAAAACAGTATTTTTGTTGTGAGTTTAAAATTCTACATGAAAATATATTGCAACACTGATTTTCTTACATCTACATCAAGTCTGGAGCCCAATATAATGGTACATGCTAGAAGGATAACTGTTTCATTGCCTTGCAAATAGATGCATTTAGAGAGCTTCTGGAAAAAATTGTGCTAGAAAAGTTCTAGGCTCTATACAGTCATGTTTGCAGCCTGTCCCCAAGGGTCCCCTGTATGTGACAGCAGGAAGGAAAAGAAATCCATTTCAAAATGCAAATATACTGATAACCTGTTATGCTCTGAGCACACGCTACACACAGCCAGGTGAGACCCTGACATAATCTGCTCCATAAACATACAGTTTCTCCCTGCCTTTACTGATATGAGTTTGGCAGGAAAGATTAGTAGATGAATTGTTTAATTGCAAAGGAAGCTTGAAATTACCTTACACAGAAATTAGATATTTGCTCTTTGCAAAAATAAAGCTCATTTCCTCTCCAACAGGAGTGGAAGAGCTAGAAAAACCACTATGACAGTGGAGTATGCAAAAATCACAGGTTTAGGAAGAAGATCCATAACTGCCAGTGCATTATAATTAATTGTACAAATAATTTATATTTACTATATATGCATTTGCTATATTTACTACCCATACAAACTACCATATTTATACGTGTACATTTATCTGTGAATTGTTGCTTGCAGCAAGAACAGTTAAAGACCTAAAGAAGAGCACAATAAATAAATGCCACTATGTATCAGTCAAAGCTAAGAAAAAGCTGACAGGGAAATGAAAACAGACAGGGCTGCCCCTGCAGTAATACTGTGAAAAGCTCAAAGGAGCTGTGGGTGTGCACGTAGTTTTGTGTATGCACGTGCACCAGAAGTTGTGAAACAGAGTAATTTAGGATATTGGTTTGTGATACAAAGTTCAGATTATGATCCTGCTCAAGCTCCCACAAATAGCAGAAGATTTTGCAACGTAAATTAATCAATGGTCTCAGCATAGTTCTGTGAAATAACTCTATCATTACACCCCTCAAAATCTGGCTTGCCGTAAGATCCTGAACACAAAACCTGCCCCTTCAGAGCCAAGCAGAAGGCTCGTTCAAAGAGTAAAAGATGTGGCTACATCCATAGCAAAGCCTATATCCATTTCTTTTAGTTAAGATCTATGTCAAAGACTGCAAGTCTCTCCATTTAAACTTTTCTCAAGCATTTTGATAAAAATAGCAGAAGGTGGCAAGGTCCAATAAAAGCAAGTAAGGATTTTCAAAGGTGAGTCACATGCCCTGTTCCCACTGAATTTAGGTGGGATTTTATTCCCCAGCATGCTGCAAGTTGTAGCCCTAAAATTTTAACCGAAATAAAAACAGTTTTAGAAAACATATACTCTCATGCTTTTACTCTGTCTAGTTTATATAGAATTTAGTAGCAAAGATGCTAGATGTGCCATGTAATTAAACCAATGTATTTAAATGTGGTACACAATACAAAAAGTGTGCAGTTTTTCATTGTGTAAGTGAAGAAATATGCACAGGAATGGTTAGATTTTGGCAGAGAAATAGGAGATCAATTGAGGATTTTATTACCAGTGATAGCAATAGCAGTAATAATAAATATTATTTCCAGGATTGCTTTATATTTTGACTACTACTGTGGCTGTAAACTGGGTGTATATTTGTGAGCATGTTACCAAAAATCAGGACAGAAAGATACCTGCAAATATTTAAACTTCTTAACTGATGTTTGTGAACACAGTTATAAACTTCAGATAAAAGCTGTACACAACTTTTGTTCCTCCAACCTAACAAATTCCTAAATGTTTAAAGAACTTACAAATATCACAGCTATCAGTCTCTGTGATTAACACAATCTTAAACCTGATATACCATTATGTTGCCCACCTACATGTTCAAATACAAAAGCAATACAAAGGGTCTGGCCACAGGAAGACATGAAAATATATGGGATTCAAGCTATTTTAAATCATCAGATAGGCAGAGTTTAATATTGCTATGAAATTACAATCTATTATTCAACTCACAAGCAAATATTACTAGACAAATGCTTGAATGACACAAATCATCACTGAAGACAGTGAATTAAAACTTAACTAATCTCCTGTAAGAGTTCACAATTTTCAGAGATGTTGTTTTCAAATTTTTCTTGCATATTGGAAAGCAAATCCGTGCTTCCATTCAAGAAATATTGCAGCAGATACTAACATGCCTTAACAATCAATCAGGGCTCAACTGTAGCCTTCAAGATAAAAGAAAGAGAAAGGGAGAACACTGAAAATATTCTTTAACTACTGTCATATGGCAAACCAACATAAAATGATTTTGATTTCTATCACAACATGATTTCTGGTTTTAGAAATAATTTAAAGGTTAGATTCGCTACTAATCTTTATTTAAAGTGATAACTATCACTAGCTTTGGAGTAAAATAATTTATTTCTTTAATATACGCATTCAGGGATTTTGTTACATCTCAAGATGCTTTCAGACGTTGGACAACCTATTAAAAATACATACTCATTGTAGACAGCAAATGAAGCTGATTGTGATTTTTCTCTTTAAATAATGAAATGTCACAGTGAAATGTAACCAACACCCTGCAATCTACGCTATTTTCCCACCTGCTTGCCATGCAATCACGTAAATATTATATTAAAACATCCAAAATACAATTACAGTTAGCTTCTAGACACTGAATCTCTTCCACCAATTGCTAAACAACATTAAAGCAGGACATAATTGGTTTACAGTCATTTATCCTGGGCCTTCACACTGCCTAAGTCCCAAATAACATCTCTTTTCTGCAAAATGGTTGTCAGGAATACCAAGCTCAGAAATACCAAATGTAATTAAAAGCTTTCTTCAAATACACTTCAGAGCACTGTATCTCACAATTAAAGTTTTCTGATTAATCCACAGAGCAAAATATGAGACACTCTTTGCTCATGAATCCTTAGTTTCTAACCAGTCAAATCAGCATTTCTTCAGTGCTCTCAGGCATCCTGTTTTCAGTGTAAACTGGTGAATTCTCTCTCACAATACTTGAAAACTCAAATTGTCCTCCAGGTAATTTTGCTTCCTGCTGGAATATTTACTTTATCATAGCAAGGGTACTGACTACAGTTATTGAGTGTATGAACAAGGAAAAATGCTGTTAACAGTCACTACAGTAAATGGATTTACTATACAGTATTATGATCAGTGTTTATCCAAAAGACAAAAAGGAACACTTCTAACTCATGGTATGTACAGCAGAAATGCTCTATTTCACCCGTTATTCCAGAAACAGTACTGTTTTAATTCATAAATTATTCAAAATAAAATAAGTTAAATGAAAAGTCTGGCATTTCTGTGACATTAACATTAGTATCAATGAAAACTTTCAAAGTTATTTGAAACAAAAAGGTTGAAAAATGAAGTAGTGACCATTTGCACAAACCACGTTTTATATCTACATATACTGCCCATTCTAATATTGGCAGAAGAATAAGAAAATATAAGAAAATTATAATTTAGATAAATAAATTATATATAATTATAATAAATTATCTATTCATATATAACTAATATATATTTTCTTAAAATTTATAAGAAAATAAAGCTGGCCCTACAAGTGGAGAGAAGAGGACTAATTTTAACAGTGTTTTATCACAGTACATGCAGAATAAGTGCAGCATTTAACAGTAAATGTCAATGAACAGAATTTACCCACTCCTAATTTGTCATATAGAATTATATCTCACTGCTCTATATCTCACTGCCCTCTCTGGACTACCAAACAGGTGACATGACTCACTTGTTTACCACCAGAGAATTGCTATGTTAGGTTTCATCAAACAGCAGAATGTGAAAAAGCAGGGCACAGTTTCAGTTCATGGATTTATTTATTTTTTTTAGTACAGTTCACTCAAGGGAGCTTTGGGAGTTTTATTTAACAGATAGCCTGTAGGAACCTAGCATATTGGCAATGTCTGTTCCCTCTCCTGCTTTCTTCCTGTTGCACAATATTATGTCATCTTTCAGCCTTTTAACTAGATATCTGCTATAAAAAAAAAAAAGTCTGGCACCCTGTAGAGTATACAGAAATTCTTATGGGAAAAGCCCAACTCATTCATGACCACAGTGAAATACTTTTGAGCTTTGTGTTCTTAAACAATCATGAAGCAACGCAACAAACCTAGGAAAACTCTTATCAAGTCATAATCCACTCAGATTATCTTGTTATAGCACATTCTGCTCCATATAGGGGGGAAAAAAAAGAAAGAAAAAAAAGGCGGGGGGAGAAGAAAGCCTGTTAAAATTATTACTGACAATAATAAGTTTCAGAAGGGCCAGATTTTGACTTTCCTTCTTTTACTATGTATTACTGCTTCTTACTCTCTCACTCAAATGAGAGACACAATCCCTAACCATCTATTCTCCAAAGAAACTACAGATTAAAATAAAGGAATGTCTTCTATATGGCCCACCTCCCAGCACAACAGTATGTTTAGACTACACAATATTTGACTTGATCATTAAAGCTGTTTACTTAACTATTAGACTATAGATATTTAATTTATTAACTTAAAATGTAATAAATCATTATCATTGGAAAATAATTTGATTATCGTTCTTATCAGCAGCAATGATTATTTACAAGCTAAATAGATATTTTTTATATAAAGGAACAATCTAAATGAAAATTAGTAGCTTGAGCAATCTTGAGGAAAATGAAAGAGATTAAGTTAATATTTTTTTACAGCTCCATATTTTAAAACTGCGCACTGGCAGAATTCAAGTGAGTGCATTATTAGGTCTCAAAGTAAATTCTCAATGAACGCATACATGTACAGATATACCATTTTTCAGAAAAGGCGATGTTACATGTAGTTTATTATTGCATCTCTCCATTATATTTTAACTCCCTTATGACTGAAGTACAGCTCACTTGTAAAATCAGCTACTACAATGTACACACAAGTATAATCAATGATGGTAATTTACAGTGAAATACCATTTGCCACTAGGGCCAGAGTGATAGATTTTCTGCAATTAAAAAAAGGAAGAATAAATGTATAGTGATTTTTTTCCTACATTAATGTTTTGTGGTAGCTGTAAATCATAGTACTATATTTTAATACAAAATGCACATAACCATTTATTTTCTAGTCCTATGTATTATACTCTCATGATTCTTTGTAGTAATTTGTTGTGATTACTGAATATTGAAAATTATTTTTTATAGCCCAGTAAATACAAATAAAAGAAATTAAGATTTAGGTTTCTAATAGAGCTCAGAGAAAATTGAACTTTAATTACAAATGTCACCTAGAAGTAAAAATATGCACAGCCAGCATAACAAACAGGAACTTCTTATTTCCACTAAGTACTTGGGTTTACTTTATCTGGCCATTTACTGCTGTATATCAAAGTTTCATTAAGACCAAATAACATACTTAGCAGCAAGTTTATAGTTTTCCACATCTTTCCTCAAGCGCATATTCTCAGCCACAAGTTGCTGGTTGCAGGTATACACAGTTGGAACCAATCCAGTATCTCTGGCTGTGAACAAACCTCTCTGTATGAGTTCATACCTAATAGAAAATAAATGGAGAGATATTTTATTTCAGGTTTCCAGTTTATCTCTTTACTGATGTCTCCCTTCTCATGCTAGCATTTACCTAAACCAGAATCACAAAGATATTTATCTTCTCATTAACAATTAGCAAGAGTACTATCCCACCACAGTGTGTTCTATTTTACTGCTTTTCATTCTAAAATGTATTATTTTTCATAAGTCAAAAAGACATGTCCCGTATAACACAATACTTCAATTTAAACAGTTGTTCTTTTCCTTCCTTTCTTCCAAATACCTTAAATAAAAGACAGAAAAAATATTCTTGTTCAAATAACATTTGTATATAGTGACAGTCCTTTTTATCTCATATGCTCAAATATATGCAAGATTGACATTTTCTTGAGGACTCAAATAAGATGACAAAGCTGTGGATAACCTGGATGAATAATTCTATGACCTATCTTCAACATAGAATACATAGCTCACCTAGGGAAATTTCTCCATTCCTTCCTGTTTACTTATGTTGCCCTCTCTTTATTTAATTATATTAACCAATATTGACTTATTTTACCAGCCCCTGAGAAAACATGATTCCATGATGTAGAAGCCTGAAGCTGTTTTAGTAAAGTAAGCATACAGACTAACTTTCATTTTGAGAAGTAAAAGGGAAACTGGAGCAGCATGTAATGCTGCGTAGCAATCTAGGAATCTCAATAGACCCTAGCAATAAAGTCCACTCAGTCAGTCTCATATCTTTCAGGACTATCCATCTTTTGGTAGCTTGTCAATGAAAGCTAAGAATACTCTAACAGGCAGTAAAAACATTGACACTTCATTTGAGGCTTAATTCAAAGGTATTTAAATACAGAGCAACTTAAAGTGCCTAAGTATGCTCTGCACACACACACACACAAAAAGAAAAAAGAGTGGCGATACTAGAAAGGATTCAGAAAAGCTAAATTTGATCAAAAAATATGACCATCACCACAGAAAATAAGTAATTCTGCAGAATCATGCCTGCTCAAGGAATTATTATAAGCTATCAGTATTTGCCAAATTGTTTCAAAAGACATCAGGATTCAAGTCTACATAAATGAACATAAGACACCTCTGTGCAAGCAGACATTGAAGAGGTGATTCCAGAATCCAGTATATGTACGTACAAAACATCTATTTTTTGTTCACTTCTGTCCTGAAAGATAGAAGAGCAAGACCTTCAGTTGGTATGAACTTTTATAGATCTACAAAAGACAAAGACATTGGGCACTATTGTAGCCATAGTATCAGTTCAGCATAGGTTCCACAGAGCTATAAATAATTTATATCAGATAAAGACTCCAGGCCCACAATCATCTTCCCTGCTGATCTTGACTGCAGCTGGAAGATGTTCTGGATGGGAACTCACTAGAAGGAATAATATGAACATTATTTGCTTTTTCAAGGACAAATATATTGAATCTGTGCATTTTTTTTCCCAAGTAATAAAGAAGTATGAAAATAATAGCATTTAGTGTATTTTTTAATCTCTAATTTCTCTAATCTCTAATCTCCTGCACTTGGACACAAGCAGCAAATTTGAAACTAGAAGACAGTAAGCACAGCATTCCTAGATCAATAAAACATGTTGCAGAAACAAGAAGTGTAGAATAAGGGATTCTTTCTTGACAAGCAACACATACTTAACATACTCCAAAAAAATTAAGGGAAATGTTAAAAACTCTTACGTCCACACTTCCTACAGTCAGCTACTTATCTGAATTCTGTGGATATTTCTAGGAATGCTCAGCTCTATAAATTAAGCTGTCACTCACATTCACCACCAGTAGATGAAAACCTTTTGAAAAGTTAAACAAACATGTCCAAAGCAAAATTCATCCTATCATCACTTCATTTTCTTAAGCAAATTACAGTAGCTAAAGGCTCTAATACTAAGAAAGAAGCTTAGTCTTGATTTTGGTTTTTTGTTTTCCAAATAAACACGGATTGATAAGCAGGTACAATTTCTATTGGAAATACTGAAAATAAGGGCACTTCTCATTGCAAACAATCACAATTCTATGTCCTCCTTTATTTGCCAGAAAAATTTCTCCACTAAACGCTGTAACAGCACCTAATGAAACCCATCAAATTTCTGCACGAAGACACACCAAACGTGGATAATTGATTAAATTAGCCTCCAGCAGAGCTAAGAACTCTGAAAGACAATTTTAATGAAATACAATTAATACCAATAAATTCACTAGGGCCTTGTCCAAGAACAATGCTAAAAATGAAGGCTTATGTGCATGTTGTAGAAACGGAATAGAAAAACCACACAGCAAAATTGCATTGTGAAATCGCATTATCTTTCATCAACCTAATGCTGTAAAACTTACAGAACTTCTACATACCTAGCCAACTGCCAAATAGCTATTGTTGTCACATCTTTCCACTGCAGAAGAGAACTGTGATGCAAATTAGTTAGTACCATGCACACACAAGCTAAGCTTTTCACAACTGAGTTGTTATTCTTGAATCGCTATCTAAAATTAACCAATAATCTGGAAACCTAAGGAACATAGGGTCAACTATGACTTTATGATCAAAGCCCAGTGCAGACAGGCTAAAAAGAATACATTATTACTATATACATTACAAAGAAATCAAGTTTCTAAGAGTTCTAAAGGAATCCAGTTGCAGAAGGCCCTGCAATAAACTAATACATCGCTCAGGATAATCCTTTACCCACGGATAACTCACCTAGAGATGCATTCAGGGATTAAAATTTCAAGTTTTAGCTTTTACAAGAACTTCTTACTGAAAATTATAATTCCAATTGATAATCTCTTTAATGGTTTCAACAGAAGGCTAAGAAAGAAATAAGCACAGAAAAATAAAGCATCTTTTTTGCCCTAGCATACTCCTCCAATCTGTTATGGTATATGAGCAGAAAATTTATATTATCGTGTTATGCTTGTTCTGTAGGCAAAAAAGGAGGTGTGTCTAGGTGGTTTTTGCAACTCAAACTTGAGGTTACTTCACTTGTGTTCTGAGACAATTCTAATCCATAAATTGTATCTGTTTTAATGTGATGCTGTCCTGGAACTGATAACCCTTGTTTCTCTCAGGATTTATGAACTTAGAGCACAACATACGTTAATGTGACCACATGATTTCCAGGCCAAAGAGGACACAGAGCAGAGGAAACAGGTCTGAGTGAAATAAGCAGATTGTTTCCACTGTCTTCAGGGAGCTGTGACATGGAGCATCACAACCTATATTCATTTTCTTCATTCTGCAAAACCAAATTTTTTTTCATGATTCTACCTATATGCTCAGAGAAGACATAGTAGCTTTGTTGCATGTGCTCCATTATGCACAACCCAAGCAATCTTTTCAAAGCATACACAAGACAGACACGGCTTTTAACCTTGCTTGGTCATGTAAGTTTATTCATAGTTCCAACCACTTCAAACAAAAAAATTTTCAAATCATGTTTCCGTAATTAGTCTACAGCATTCCTTTTATCTGCTGAAACACTACCAGGTCTCTAGGAACACTTAAGTCAGAGATTACCAGTCCAATGAGTGTACTAATCACAGTGATAGCTCCGTGCATATGTGTGAACAGCAACCGGTTCATCTGCTCATCAGACTGGCAACATGCTGCCAGCAGCAGTGAGCTCTTTGAGATTAGGAGGTATAGACTGTCAGATGCATGACTTTACAGTTGATCAGCTCTTGCACTTCATGCTCTAAAGCTTGCAATCCAATATCTTTAACAAGCAACAAAAGCACTAAAAAGTCTCGTATATCAAAGGAATAGAAAATTTAATGGGCAAATTAGATATTCTAAAAATAATTTAAGTCTAATTTTAAGTTCCTTAAAGTATAACTGGAAGAAAAAAGTATATGTACAAAACCCCTACATCAGTAAAAAAAAAAAAAAATCACTACAAGTGTAATAAAATTATTCGTTACACTGAAGAATAAGAGGGTGTTTGGCTTAAAATAAAACATCATCACATCATGACATTTTATACAGCTGGATAGAATAACAGAATGTTTTCTCAAACTCTGAAGTAAACACAGATAATTTGGTCCAAATTAAGTGACCTTTAGATCTCAGAAAGACAATTATTTCAAAGCAAGCCTTTTGATAAATTTTCTCTACGTTAATTAATTTTTCATTTTAAATTCCATTAGTACTTGATCACCACAGCATGAGAGCGAGAGCATCATCCCAATACATAATGAGGAACCTGAGTACACTAATCTGCTCTCACTTTCATTAATATTGTAAATTATCTATTTCAAACCAACATGAAACATTTTGAAATAAGGTATTAATGCAGAAAAAGTCTCAATACAGTAAGATTAGATCCTGACATGCTGAGCTCATTTGTAATGCTACTGGAATTAAAAATATTACTTAGAGAAAAAAAAAATATATGTTCAGCTAAGGATTTACAAGATAAGGCCTGCTAAGGCCTGCTCTTGCTCTGCTAAAAAGCAAATCTGAATTTTGCCATTGATATAAATTTAAATTCTAAGTGCTTCAAAGAAAGCTGTACTTTCATAAAAAGGCCACTATTTATATCTGTCTAGCATTAATTATCTTTTTCCATAAAAACTGTTAAACTTCTTCAAACTTCACACTATTCATATCAGTTCTTTTGTTGAAACAGAATACAGAATAATAGTGCTCCTTCTCTAAGGAACCATTTAAGTCACATTGTTACACTATCAAAAACCAGATCATTATTAATTCCAAAGGCAACGCCTGATTGGTGAGCTCTACGCTAATAAGATCAGAGCTTTGCAAACGACAGCTATGATTCCCCATTAGAGAATATTTCTAAGAAAATTTAAAAGCTTCAAGGCTTTTGTAAGAAAAAATAAGATGTTTAACTTTTCAAATTCACTCATTTTCAAATTAAACAATTTCAAAAGGCTTTATTAAAAAAAAATCTCTGGACATACCATATTTAAAGACTGACTACAAGATAATTCAAAGAGAGGTGTTTCCACTTCTCAGAATCTTTCCAATTTAACTTGCAGATTCAAAGCAAGCTTGTAACTGAAAGTATTTCAATAGAACTTCATGACAAGTGTCATCTTTTGCTTCAAAATAATACAGCTCTCCTCTCTAGCTTTGCTGCATTCCTGGCACATCATTCTTAATCAATATTTAAAAAGCATACATCCTGTGGGATTCCATATATGAAGAGAGTGATGGAGGAAGTGGATCATTTAGACAAAGCCATGCGTTTAAAGTTCTGCTCAAAGCATGGACAAAGATCCCCGCAACCTATAACAGCTAGGAAAGAAAAAAATAGCAGCAGCTCAAGAGTTTACTCTTCTGATTACTCTATGAATTAAATTTTAAAAAGTAAAAACCAAACTAACCATATTATTTTGACTGATGTACCAAAAATTACCAAGTATCAAACATTTTGATTATAAGGCAGCTATGATGAATATCCAAACCTACCCAAACAATCAAGGTGCAAATACTATAGCATACTACAAAAGACTCAGTTTTTAAGCAGGCACCCATGTTCTGGAAATCAAGAAAATAACAAAACCACATGATTTCTCAGTGCTGCTGAAATGAAATGCTCATCATTTTGCATTGAACGCATTTGATCCGATGATGACATCTGCACTGTTGCTGGTTTCTAGTTTTCATTGGTAGGCAGTGAGAGCAGAATATACTTGAAAAAAAGAAAAGAATTTGTTTAGTCTTAAAGGAGATGGCTTAAACAACTCAGGTGAGTTACATCCTGAAAATGAGTATTTCTCTTCACTGGTCACAAAAGAGGCCCCAGGTGACCACTTGAGGCTTGTAAATGTCTAGAGTTAGGTGAAATATATACAGTCCTTCAAAGGTATCCATTTAGGAGCTCCCTGGAGTCAGCTTTATTGAAAGCCTGTCCTTAAAACAATAGTTTGCATCTTCATTCTCAACATGAATATATTTGGTAAAACATCATATATCTAAGAGCAACTTGTACTCAGAATAGTTTTCTGGAAATATATCCTGAAATATAGAAACACTTGAATCCTGAGCATCTACTTCCTAATTCTCAGAGTAACACAGTCAATTAAAATATTTTACCATTCAGTTTGGAAGCAGTCAAGGGTTCTGGACATTCCCAATCTGACCAGGAAATTGCAGAAGAAGTCATCCATCGCTTCAGGTATTTCAGACACTGATTTCTCAGAAGTCAGAACTGATTGCAAAGCCTGAAATTAAAAATTGATAATTGTTATTAAACCTGTAAGAGAAATATAATTATCATACCTTTTATTTCTGAAGTCATCTAAAGTCACAGATCTACCGGAGCACAGCCGAACGTTTCCCTTGTCTTTATTGATCAGATCTGTAATCACTGATCCTTCTAGGGTCAAGGTCTGTGAAAGGTTATAGAGAAATAACTCAAAAATCACCTGATTTAAGCAAATATTCTGAACCTGACATACTCTGATATGAATTTGAAACTATTTAAACTGATAGAAGTTCTTCTGTCACTGACCAGTGAGAAAATGTTAGTTCTCATACTCCTGCACACTTCAGCAACCTTCAGAACTACAGATGAGAAAAATCAGTACTTCATCTAATGAAAAATGCAAAAGTCCAAGGTGATAGTAAAATGGCTTATGTTCTTTTCGTAATGAATGCAATGAAGAGACTGAAAGAACTACATCTCCATCATTAGATCTTTTAAGAAGATTCAAAAATATCAATTCTCCCTTTTCTTCCCAACATCCATATACAGACACTGAATGAAGCTGCCAGACAACACTGCTACAAGTGTTAGCACAATGCAGATGGTGCACCGAGGCTTCATATGCAGCTCCTCTAGTGCCATCAAGATAGACAGCTATTCAGATAAGATCAGCTCATGGGTCAAGCACAGTTGCCAAAAGCAGAATCAAAACAAAACAGAGCAATCCTACTACAGAAGGGGAAGAAAAAAAAAAAATCTTTCACAGCTTTTTGTTGCAATGCAAATTCTTTCCTTCACCCAATCCCATTCAGCCCATTCAGTGCATAGCTTGATATTAAGCTCTCCTAGAGAGATTTCAAGATGCAAGGAGGTATGAAAAAAAGTAAAATATGACTCAGTCTCAGACTACCCCCTGCAAAATGCATTTAAAGATAACCAGATAACTACCACGACTTGGCAGCCAAAGAGTTGGCCTTAATTCCTTCAGACTTCAAATGGATTACATCAACTTGGCATACCTAAATGTGAAGCTCTCAGCATTTGGGAACTCCACATAGGGCACAATGCTACAATGTACTTGCTCAACAACACAGGCTACTAAGACAGATACTGCACTGCACACACCTGCCTCCTGGTGAGAGGATGACAGAACAAATCTGGGCTTGACAACTATCACAGAGTGCTCCTGAAAGAAACTCAGGTTCTATGATAACATGTGCTACATATTAAAAAAAATACCAGCATAGAGAACTGATGAGAAGTAGAAACAGCTTCCGCAGATGCGTACCATCTTTTCATTTCAATACTAACAAAACTGAAAAAATCCAGTGACAATCATCAAGACATGCTAAAGGCTGTGTCTGCAAATTATTTCCTCCATCCATTTAAAAAAGAATCTGTAGGCCAGAAACTTTTGATAACTCCATCCATTTATGGCTTATTCACGTCCTTAGTGGGAGCTCTATTAACACAACTGCATAAATTACCTGGAGACAAAGGCATTTCTCTTGATAAAATAAAAAGACTGGGAAAATCTCATAGCCGTTTTGTATAATACAGAAAATATTGTGTTTAATCCAAGCAACCTACCTAATATAAACAAAGAATTGTACATGTACGATCAAGGCCATGTAACACTGTACTATAAATAATATAATATGCCAAGTGCAATCTAATATTTAGCATATTTTCATTACTAGAGATACGGTACATCAGACAGTTCTATTTTCTAATTGTCATAATACAAGAACCAAAGAGAGTACACATCTACAGACATAGAGCTCCATCCCTTTTCTTGCTTCTTTTCTTTCTTTATTCTAAGTGAGGCAAAGGTCTAATATTGTTGCTTGTAGTTTCCCAAACACATCTATAAAGGCAGCCTTCGGAAGAAATGACACAGCTTGATTCCCTTAATAAATGGAAATATGATAGGAATTCATTTCATCCGTGCAGAAGAGAATTTATTAGCTAGATACTAGCACCGAGAATCATTTCAGGAACCGACGCTCAAGCAGGGAACAACATAGGGAAAAATGAATGCAGTCTAACAGGAACAGTATTAGAACAGGGCCTCAGGAAACCAGAATTAGATTCCTAGCTCTTATGCAGACTTTGACAGTAATATTAGGCTAACAACTTTCTTTAACTCAATGTTAACCTGGGATGACCACTCATAGAATGGCATAACAGTAATTTTTTGTATATAGCTACCAATTTAGAAATGAGGAAAATACAATCTACTAATTAAAGTGGTGCAGACACCCTATAGCAGCTATGTAGACAAAAACATCTTATTAAAGGATTTTGATCTTTAAGTCAAAATAAACAAACTAAATATTTCTTTTGTTAAGTACATCTTGGTTAAATTTTTTAAATTAAAATCTTCAAAACATTTTGAGCGTAAGGATTGCAAATATGGCTATTAAAATAAGTTAATTGCTATGAGCTTAACCTTAAGGACTTCCACAATACTTGCAAAAAATTATGTCCAATGAAGGAAGATTAACACCAAATAAATTAATAATTTATCTGGAAAACAAAATGAAATGTTCTTGTAAAACTTATTAAACTAGAAAAGAATAAAAAGGGTATTCAAAGATTTTTAACATGGTCAAACAAATTCTAAATCAGATCTACATAAAATATAAGGTTAATGAAGGGTGATGGGACTTCAGATTATCATTTGGGATATTAAGAAAATAAAGATCCTGGAATTGAAGTGTAATAGCTGTAACTACTGAGGAAAGTAATTCAGACAGATTTCTTTTGTGTGTGTGGTTTTCAAAAAGTTCTGTATCCTTTTCCTAGGGTCCCTATCCGCTGAAGATTTTATTTTATAGGCAAAATATTCTATCGCTTGTGTTTCAAAATAATTTGTTACTTTACGCTGTCTCAAAACAGGGACAACAGAAAAAAAAATAATCACAAGTTGTGACTGAAAAGGACAAATAATGACTAAGAACAGGAACAGCAGGCAGAATCACTGCTATCCAAAGTTCGTATTGCTCAGCACAGCTGTATTTTGAATCAGCTGCCATTTCACCACCACACTACACAGGAATGATATTTAGAGATTAGAGCTCATCACCCTCATTTCCCTGTTGGGATCCAAACAAAAACATGAACGGTAACTGTTGAGGGAGCCTCACCAAGCTCCTTAAAGATGAGTAGTTTCACTGCATGCATACAGAGATCCAGAAGGAAAGAAAAAATGTCTCAATAACCCCTGTAGAAACATAAGCTTAACTCCTACATGCCAATTTTTTTTTTTTTTTTTTAAAGGTGAATAGCACCATCTCTCCTTTGCTTATGTTTGCTCTTCTTCATTTAGTAATTAGTGCTAATTACTTCGGAAGAAAGTTTGAAAATAAGTATTTTACTTAGATTTTCCTGGTTATACTTGACCTTTTTAACAGAGTGTAAAAGAAACTGTAGTTACTCAATTTAGAAACTGGATATTTATAGTATCTGCATTTGGCAAATCACTTAAATATTTCTGGATGTTCACTTGGTCTGTGCCTTCTCTATATAATTTCTTTTCTTTAACAAAAAGATTTGCATCTACTATTGAAATGCAATCTTTAATACAGGATTAGGTATACAAGTTACTATGAACAGCAAATATACACAATCACTTAGAAGTGTTTATCACAGATTAGCTATTCCAGAATATGGTTGTTACCTACTTTAACATATTTCAGCCATGATTAGAAGCTAATAATTGAAAAAGTGTACCAATTATTTATCATGTGAAGACAGCCTTCTACTGTGCTTCTTAGCTCAGAGTTTGGATATTGATTCAATATTCAAATATTCAATGCACAGGAAAGAGTACTTCTAACTTGTGTCACCAAAAGCATTCACTGCAGCATTTGGAATTCCGGTGACAATCTAGTCACTGAGCCTCACAAAATATACAGTAAATAGTTATGAAAGCTGTCAGGAACTAGCAAGGGTATTAAAACAGTTTTCTATCCACATCTTCTGTCTAAAGGCTGAAAATATTATTTCAGTTTCAAAATTATGGAAAAAATTAAGCCTCCAAACAATGAATCAAGAAGCAAGAAGGCAGACGATTTATAAGCACAAAAATCAAAGAGAATCTGAGTTTAAGCACACAAATTCTTCTTTTGTTTTAAGGAAAGGTAACACTTCCTTCAGTTTGATTAAATGGGACAGATATTAGCATGTTGTTTCCTACCACTCAAAGTTTAATCAACAAAGAGGTAAAGGGTTATTTAATTATAGCACCATCAAAAGATCAATAGATTAAAAATATTCTCCCTTGTTTCACTTTTTATTTGAGCATCAACTCACACAGTAAACCAGACATAACTTCAGTTATCCCTAAAAAATATTATGTATTTCCACTACTTAGTTAGCATTAAGCATGTTCAGTCTAAAAAACTTCTGCAATCTTTCTCTTCGTTTTCAGGTATATTCAGTTTCAAAACATGTAAGACTCCAGTATTGTCAGTTTTCATTCAAAGATTGATCTAAAATACAAAACTGATCTGTAGATATGCACTAGTGCAGAAGAAAATGCACATTTTTCCTCCATTTGGATGTTAATAATCATTCATATAATTTTATTTTTTCATTATTAATCATTTGCTTTTGCAAAACTTAGGCTATGATGATAGCTTACTGATGAGGCTATAAGATAGTGGTGATATTAGAAACACAGCAGGGAAAAGCACTTTTCCATTAGATTGTTATAAGCAAGTAAATTCAGGCAAATCATATTTTGGAAAATACAACTTAACAATCCTATTGTGTAACTCTGAACTATTACATGACTGTTTTGAAATCAAACTGTAAATCTAAGAAGTGCCAAAAACGAATGGTCTGAAATGATTGATAATTTCATTAATATTTTGATTTAATATAGTGTAACAGCCCATTCTTTATTTTCAATATATCAGCAACCTTTTTTAGCAAAGTATTGAAGTACAAGCTTCTGTGGGTCTTAAGCATACGCAGTCTCTTTCCTGTGTTAGGGATCCCACTCTCATTCGATCTACTCAGATAAAGAAGCAAACTCTAAAATACTGATATATTTTAATAACATTCATATATTTTAAATAACCTATCTATGTATTTGTTACATCTATTTGCAATATCAGGTTGTTCATGGAACATAAAATGAACAAAACTTAGAGGAAGATGAAACCCAGGAAACATAAGCTGCCTTTTCCACTGTGGCATATGTTTACCCCCCGAAAGTAAATTATGATGTGTAAATTTTAAGCCACTAATGGCAACTGAACTACAGAGTTTTAGAATGTTTAAGAAGTTCTTACTAAAATTTGAGCATCTTCAGCCTGCTCTGCAATAGTCTGCAAAGCCTTTGACAGATCCTCATCATCTTCCTGAAGACTAAATTCATCATCTGCTGGAACCTAAATGAAATGATTTAAAGTTAAGTGCCAATATACTTTATACATACTTCCAGTCCTAGTACAACTACTGAAAATAGTCTCCTTCTTGTTAAAATAGTATTTCGCAAATTATTACAAATAAGCTGAAACATCTAAATAGAAAACCTGTATCTTTTATTTGAATGTTAAGTACTTTTTTAAAATAAAACATAACAAAACAACTGACACAAAATCTATTGAAAAATAAAGATATGCCTAACATAATCACACTTTATAAAAGGAGAGTTGTGTCATTTCTCCTAGGATGTTTTCGTGACTGATGAAGTAAAATAAAAGAATGAAACAAGAATGATCTACCACAAATATCAGAAGATTATCAATTTAGTAAATTACCTCTTCATACTGATAATCATTAGAGTCATCTGTTATGGTAAATTCTGCAGATCTTGTTAAGTCTGAAACAGCTGATGAATGTGATGAATTCCAACTTTAAAAAAAAAGTATAATAAAACAACCATCTATAAATCTGTTGTCACCACCTTCACCCTTCTTTATAACACAGGACTTTACACTTTCAAGGCTTCTTTCAGGCTTTAGGTGAACATGCCCAGCTCCGGTGAAAATTGTGTACACAGATTCAAAGTTTTCATAGCAGGTTTAAACACCATTAAAATTTGACTTCCAACTTTGACAGACCCGATGAGACAAGCACTGTTCTGAATTAAACAGCAGCTAAAAATTCTGGTCTCACCCACCCAATCAATCAGTTTTCATAGGGGTCTTACTGCATTGAGACTTCCACAAACTTTATGCTCTAAGCATAACTAACTTCATGCTCTCAGAAAAATGGCTTTTTTTTTTATCAATTCAGATGTAGAAGTAGAAATACAGACATCTGAGATCAAACACTGAGTTCTAGAGGACCGTTTACTGAAGCTGATACAAGTGCCTTAACAGTTACAACACAGCTATAATAAAGACTTTCAAAATGTAAATAGTAAAACTTTCAAAATGTAAAAATTCATTTGGAAATTATGTACAGTTCTGCCAAATGCTTTAGAGTCAAATTTTTCATTAAAAATAACTACAAATGATGTAAAATGAAACCCAAATAAACATTTTTCATCCACTAGCCTCACAGCCCATGAAAGTATAACAAAACTGTTATACTTTGTCAAAAGATGCTCTTTTGACAGTTTCCCTAGGAAATCAGTTAGCCTACAAATGACACAGGTAAATAAACCAGAAATTAACTTCTGAAGAAAAGGTGGCAATTCAGTACTTCACATGCATCAAATTTAAATGGTAACTTCTACATGTAAAGAGAAAATAAATTAAAAAAAAAAGAAACATGATTTTCCAGCTTTGCATCAAGTCTCCCGAGTCTGAATTATCATCCTAAAATACAGGCCTTTTCCTACAGTTCTCACAGTACAATATATATGTAAAAGTATCATCTGCATTCAAGACCTCAGCATCACAGCATCAACAAAACTCCAAGTTAAATTGTAACCAATGCTAACAGCCAAAGACCACGTCCCAAAAAAGGACCAGCATTTGTTTGAGATGTGACGTTTGAGATAAAGATTGAGAGATGTCATTTTCTATGCTAAACAAGATGTGAGGTTTGAGATAAAGATTGGAGAGATGTCATTTTCTATGCTAAACAAAAAAAACAAACAGGGTGTCACTGAGTGAATAAAAGCATAATTTTCAGTAATCAAGTCAAAGCACATCTGTGTACTTCCAACTGTCCAATTAAACTACATGCTTACTATAAAAATTGTATATATAAATAGGAAAGTAGCATGAACACTTTGTAAGAACCTCCTATCTAGGCTTGGTACATGAAAGCAAATGCCTGTAATACATGTGCCCCCAAATTTGCTTCCCAAATTACTGCATCACAGACTGCAGATGTGGAACACAGGACTTGAATTCAAGTCACCACCTCCTTGCATCTCAAATTTCACTCTCCACAAAAGCCTCATTTTCTAACTTGACTGATTCTGGAATGTTTCATTCTAAAACCTGAATGACACAGAAACTCATCTCAACAAAGTGTTTGCTATGCTTTCTTTCGGGGGGGGGGGGGGGGGAGGAACCCCCAATCTATTAGATTTAACAGGCCTAAATCTGCTATCGCACCAGAAGAAATCTGGATTAACCTTTCCAACTTTAACAGGAGGACAAAGAAATTTTGTGGTTTAATGAATGCACCTTTTCTCAGCATGGTACTCCAGGACCATATGTGGGTTCATCAAGGTAAGTAAAGAGAACAGAGATGAAAATAGCTCATGTTGAGGGACGACTTTCAAGAGCTGACCCAACAGACTAGAGATAACCATGAGGGACTCTGGCATCAGGCTACCTTTCAATTGTCTGCCTGCTCCCCAGTACAACAGGAATGTTTTGGTTCTTGCATCAGGGCCTGACCAGGTCCTCATGAAACAACTCCTAATTCCTTGGCTTAGTTCCTTCAACTCGCAGGGAGAAAAGTTCACCTTAACTGCTGATTACATAAGAAAAGGGAACAGCAAGGCACAAGTGCAAAGCAGGAGGAACAGGTTTCCTTTATTGTTTGAAAAAGCAAGAAGGATGCTTGCAGCAGGCAAGTCAAGATAAAAGACACAGTAACAGAGACTGATTAGACAGGGGAATGTTCTAAAAAGCCCCTTTTAAAAATCAGATTAAGATATCCTAGCACTAGCTAGCTGACTACACATTCTCTCTCTAAAGAATAAGACTTTAAAAAGCCTGGTCATGTTTGTATAGCGTGAATACTTGGGTACAACATTTTTTGTATGAAGAAAGGGACAATTTCCATATATATGTAGTAATTCTATGTACAAACTAAATACCTGTGTATTTTTCTGGAAGCCCAAAGCCTCTTCATTACTTTATAGTACAGTATTTATCAATTTGAAATTAACTTAAATAAAGTACATTTAAATAAATTAGTGTACCCAGAGATTTTTTTCACACCACATTTAGTGATTTTACCAGAGACTATTTTTTCTTAAGCTGTCTTTCGTATGGGCTACAAATGATCCTTCCCCCCCCCATCTTGACTATTTCTTTATGCATTTATCAAATCTTTCAATACAGATAGAAGTGTCACTGCAGTATACCCTTGATCAATAAAACACTTTCAAATAGTTTTTCCTGAATTTTCCACTGACCTGACCATCCTTGCAATCCATTATGGTCTAAACTAATGTGCCATCGCAAACACTGTGCCCAGACTAAAATATTACCTTAAAAATCCTGATTCCCCCTCCCTGCCCCCCTTTTCTAAAAATCATAGCTAAGAGCCCAATAAAAAAGAGGCATTCTTTTTTAAAACTATTCCCTTTTCCCAGCCAACATTGACAATTACTTTTTTAAAAACACGTGTCCTGATGCAGTGCTTTTTTAAGCACACCACATAGAGTGAAAACAGCTGTGCAGTTTCAAGGAGATAGAAACTGAGGCACAAGCTTGCAAAGGACAACCTTCCACTTTTTTTTTTTTTTTTTCTTTTTAATTGCGTTTATATTGGCTTACATCTTAATTCTAGCAAGACAGGAAAACCCACGGTACTGGTAGAGCCTAACATTTAAGCTCTGATTATTTAGCCGCTAAAACAAAGCTCACAGAATCTTCTTGATTTGGCACCTCACAGCAACAAAACAGAATGGACAGAGCTAGTCTGACCTAGTAACAAAACTAGAATTTGGGTCGTCTAAACAAAAATTACATTCAAAATCCATAAACTCCGAACACAACTTGCCACAACTCAACTGTGAGAAGAATTCAAACTTTTTTTTTGTTTTTTTTTTCCTCTGAAAGCCACAGCAAATAAAATTATGTCTAGGTTATCGTATCCTAATCTTTATATAAAACTTGGTCATACACAATGCTAAAGAAAAACACGACTATCTAGCCAGCTACTGTGTGCGGCAGGCATTGAGAATAACAATTTCACAACAGCACACTAGCACTTTGAGCCTTAATGACAAGTCTTGTCACTCCTCGGCAGATATTTTGCACCCACTGATCAATAACTAAAACAAAAGAAGAGGCAGGAGACTTTCAGTTCAGAATTTTAACTCTGGCTTAGACTGTCCCTATCAGCGGTAGGGAGAGATTTCCTAAGGGTCGCTCAGGGACTCATACTCTTCATCAGCAATGAAAAAAACATTACACTCAAGCGAGCACGACCCTACCGTCACTGCAGGACACACACACACACCCATATTGGCCCTTTTGTAGTCTCCGGGGGCAATAACCCACAAAAAGCAGCAACAAAGGGGGGGGTGGGGGGGTGGTGCCTTTCCTCCCCCCCCTTACTCTGTGAAATAACTTGGCAGCCCGCGGATCTCCCGCTGGGACGGTCCTGCCCCGGCTCCCT